ATACGATTGAACACAGATTGTAATGATTGGTTCGACTTGGTAATTCACTAGATAATTCTTTGCATCGGTTGGTTGTGTTCAATCGTACCGTGGTCAATCGGGACACTCCCCTCTAGCCATTGAAATCAGGCTGGTGGCCGCTCTTATGCTTCTCTTTGATATGCATGTCTATAGCTGTGTTCGGGAATACGCTATTTAGCGCTATGAGTGTGCTCTGTCCTTGCTTATTCATAAAAAGTTAAACAAGGACAAAAGACACTCATAGCGCTAAATAGCGTCTCCCCAAACGCAGCCAATGGCTACAATAGAGTTTGCTAACGCGCGTGCGCGTTCCTGCATTTCCTGATGGAAGGGAAAACAGCTGTAGGTGAAAACATAAGCGTACGGCTCAGTGTGTGAGCTGTAGCGTATCACACTTGTTGAGGTGACGAACGTACGAAGTACTAAGAATTAATCACGTGTATTCTCACTACACTCGTTAAAATGGGTGTCTACGACCACCTGGATTCGAAGTACAATATGATGGGCGCATCAAGTTTTTCTAAACTAACCCCAAAACGGCCTAACACTGTCGTATTCGGTGCGGGTCCTAGTAAAGCGCAGAAAATGAACGAGGAGGAGGTCCAACAGCCTGCACCCGAAAAGGACAAGGATCCGAATGCTTTCCACAAATGTAGAAAAACGCTACCCGTCTATCATCATCGTAAAAGGTAAGTTTTACTTTAGTTTTTTTCCGTGAATTTCTCTAATCATCACACAACGCATCACGTGCGAGAATGTCGCGTGCACACGGACATTGTTTATATGAGGATGACTGCCCAGTCAGAATCGTAATATTGACTAGAGTTTGATAACGAATCAGTTGATAACTCATTGAGTTGAATGAAGGTTGATTTCGTTTATATCGACTTATGCAATTTTTAATTTTTTATAGTGTAAAACATTTATCTAAATTAGTTATCGTGATTTTTATTTGTTACCAACCAATGATAGGTGAATTATAATAGAATATCGTTGACTGCAGTCGGTAAAGTAGAGCACTGTTAATCTTGGTTAAACTCGGATTAGTGTTTGCTGTGAGAGCCATAGACTTATATAGATAGACTGTGTCTCCTTATAGACGCGCTGAAGATAACGCTAAAGGACAGGCAAGGGTGTAGCTCTCTCATTTTATGTTAAGACAGGGAAGAAGACTACTACAGGAGCCATTAGTACAACTGTTCTCTCTTCCTTATTTCCATATGCATATTAGTCACACACCTCTGCTATTATTTTCTCACTTTAAATGTTGTCTTCAATTTCTCTTACAATAGACGCAGTCTACCTATATAAATCTATAGTGAGAGCATTCATTTAATCGATAATACAGTGTGAGGAAAAATAAGATTATAAGATCAAATTATTATCAAACTACTCGCCCTAAGAAATAAATTTGAAAAAAAACTTTGTTAGAACAAATTTTCCTGAATTTCTTTTTTATTTCACTTTGGTGTAATTTGTTACAATATATTCACAAAAAGATGGCAAAATGCGAAATAGAGTCATGCTTTATTTGAAGGAGGATACTGAGTGTACTAAAATTGTAAAAGGGCTTCAGTGCATGAGGTTTAGTTTAGTGCATGAGGCTGAGAAATTTGCGATAAAAGTTGGGCATTCGTCCAGCTGTACGGTAACTTAAGTTTAATAAGCAGAGAGAGAGAGAGAGAAAATGAAGAGAGTGTGATAGAGCAGACTAAAGTGCGTTATCTTTGCATCTGCGGCCGATAAGTATTCCCTGCAGTGTCAACTTTTTTTTTAGTAATCGCTACATTTTACAATTTCATTAATTTTTGTTATTCTTTGTAGCAAAAATACTAAAGGAAGCCTCCTTTATTTTCTTTATCATAAAGTAATTTATACATAATTTTGAACAAAAATACGTTAATTTTCATCCACAACATTATATGGCAATGTCCGAATTTTATAATAAATAATTTATATATATATATATATATATTATTTTATAATAAATCATTAATAATTAAATCATATATTTTCTTGTTATACTTTATTTTATATTATATATATATATATATATATATATATATATATATATATATATATATATATATATAATTTTAATATTTTTGCTACAAAGAATAATAAAAATTGATGAAATTATAAAATATAGTAGTTACTAAAAAAAAGCTTATGCTTCGAGGACTTGAACTTCATCGGCTGCAGATGAAAAGATATAATGTGCGTGTGACTTAGTCTGCCTAATCAAAATATTTTGAATTTTATCATTTATAAATTATAGTACTTCTACAGACTTCTATATATAAACTAAACTAATACCCGTATTTAGCGAGTGTTTGGAAAAATATCGGGCGGTCATCTTTGAAAGGACCGTATCATATAGCAGCAAAGATGCCACTTTTAGTTTACTTACAGCAAGCAGCAGCGTGTGGAGGGGATACGCACCAAGCGAGAGACAGTGTACGTGTACGCTTGATTCTTCGGCCGTCGAAGTTTGTCGCTGGCTCGCTTGTGTGCGTATCCCCTCCACACGCTGCTGCTTGCTGTAAGTTAAAATTGGCATCCTTATAGGAGTAGTAGTGACACGCACTATAGCATATTGCTTCCTCCCACTCACAAGTTCTTGCCACTTATGTGAGGTTCTTTTAAAGATGGCGGACGACCAAACAATCCTTAACTAAACTATACTTATTTAGCTGTCTAGGTTGCGTTCCAAAACGTCCTTTTTGACGAAATTTTACTCGATACTTTATAGTATATGTAACGTGAACTATAGTTATTGAGTAAAATTTTTCTCAAAAAGAACGTTTTGGAATGCAACCCTAGATATTATATAGAAGTCTGTGTGAGTACTTCTTGTACAGTTGAGCAGATAATTTAATTTAATTGCAACTTTAATTGCAAATTTCTCAAAGATAAGGTCTATGCACTCAAATCCTTTTACAATTTTACTTTTCTCCTAGGTTATTCTAAGCAATAATTTTTCCTTACTAAAAAGGATTAAACGTTTTAATATTTTAATATTTTAATAAGTCGTTCCTAAATTGTTAAGATATTTATGAATAATAGTTAATCTTTGAAGCATTTAACAGAAGAAATTTTGAATTTTCAGATTGATGAACATTATAAAGGAGCACGATAGTCTGATCATAATTGGAGAGACTGGCAGTGGCAAAACTACGCAGATTCCGCAATTTTTATTTGATGCTGGTTTAGCCACATCTGGATGTATCGGTATCACGCAACCGCGCAGAGTAGCAGCGGTTAGCATAGCATCAAGAGTCGCTCAAGAACAAGGAGTCAAATTGGGAAAATTAGTCGGATATTGCGTCCGTTTTCAGAATATGACCTCTTCTCAAACGAAAATCAAGTATATGACAGATGGTATGATGGTGCGAGAGGCGATAACTGATCCACATCTGTCGGATTATTCGGTACGTTAAAACAATTAAAATTACCCCGTATTCAATTTTCGTTATCAATCTTTTAATTATCTTTATTTATATTATTTCTTTGATTCATTTTGTTTGTCGCTATGTATAATATTAACCGCTATAATTGTACGTTGCTGATCATTATATCATCTTGTAACATAACAACAGGTGGTGATACTCGACGAAGCTCACGAGCGATCTGTGCATACCGACGTTCTGTTCGGAGTAGCGAAACGGGCACAACATTTGCGGGAGTTGAAAAAAGAGTTGCCGCCCCTGAAACTCATCATTATGTCGGCGACGATGGATATAGACAAGTTCGTTAAGTATTTCAATGCGCAAGCGGTTTACTTGGAAGGTCGGCAACACGAAATAAAAGTTTATCAATCAGTTTCCACGTACGAAAATTACTGGGTGCCTGCATTAGCTACACTATTTCAAATACATCGCGAGGCGCCCCCAAAGTAAGCATTTAATCTGATATTTTAGGCTTCCACAATGTGAAGAAATATTTGATCTAGTTTCTGGGTTGGTATTATGCTTTTCATAGATTCTTGTTTCCAATGTTTTGCGAACTGTCTAGTTCACTTTTTTCAAGGAGAAAAACAGAACCTGAAAGTTTCTTCGTGAAGAAGTAAACTTGAATATTTACGAAACTTTAAATACAAATTTATAAAGGACGCGGTCTATAGAAACCAGATCAAGCTATTAACCCCTTCACTGTGGAAAGCAAAATCACTAAGTGGGCCAAAAATATGCAGAGCGTTCTATTAGACGCATTTTCATAAAATTTTGCATATAACTATTTTTGACATCGCTGAATACGAATCTGAGGTCAAAATTAGAAAATTCAAAATGGCGGATTCAATATGGCGACAAAAAATATTTAAAAATTCAATAAATTGGCGAATTTCTGTAAAGCTCGGTAAGGAGTTTTCTAAGTTGCTGAAAACAAATTTAAAGTCAAAATTAGAAAACTAAAAATGGCGGATCCAATATAATGGATCAAAATGTCAAACACTCTCCAAATAATTAAAACAAATTTTTTATGAAAAAATTAAAAATCTAAAAAGTGTAAAAAAAATACAATATAAAAATAAAAATATAAGGAGTGTAAAATCCCACTGCAAATCTCCATGTGATGCACTCTGGGGCCGTGAATACATTTTTAAAAATATTCACCAGCTAAATGCGAGGGTAAAAATATTATTATTTCGATTATTTTGCTATTTTAAATTGAACAAAACGATATAAAATAGCATCATAATAAAATTGTTAAGTGCTTGTTACCTGCAATTAAGCTGCAAAAATTTTTAAATTTTGACCTCAAATGTGTACTCAGCGATCCTTAAAACCCTTTAGCGCCAAGTTTTGTAAAGATCCACTAATTTAATTGTTATTGAATTTTTTGTCAGTACATGTATAGACATACTCCATAAGTTCACCTAGTCAAGTACGTCTATAGACGTACTCCATAGTAAAAGGGTTAGTCACATTCATAACGCTAATAGGAAGATTGCTTGCGGTATAGAGAAAGCTCTGTAAAATAAATACACGTGTGACTATGTCGCTAATTCCGTATGATTTCTCATTTTTCTGCTTTCAGTGAAGATATTCTTGTATTTTTAACTGGTCAAGAAGAGATAGAATCGGCCGTAACGTACACTCGCGAGTTGGGTAAGCATCTGAGCAATCTTGTCGACAATCCGCCTCTAATGGTTTTTCCATTGTACTCGGCATTACCTACCCGTCAACAGTTGGAGGCCTTTAGACCGTCACCGCCGGGGTCACGCAAAGTAGTATTTTCGACTAATATTGCCGAAACGTCTGTTACCATTGGTGGTATGTATATCTACTTTAATTTTTCAAGCAAAGTAGTAACAAACAATTTTTATTGCTATTAATAAATTTTTTCATTCATGTTTTAAAATTTCTAAAAACACTTCGGTTCGAATCTCGGCTTAATAATTTAGCGGGAAATCGAAATACTTCGGTTCGAATCTCGGCTGAATAATTTAGAGGAGACTCAAAATGAAATGTGCAAAATTATATTAATGTGCGATTAAAAATAAATGACGTGTGACTGTTGGATCGTGTTACTGCGTTTAGGCTATGCATCTATTTGACTTTCAATCCATTTGACTTATCAACTCCTTTCAATTTATAGTTGATTGAGATTTCTAGGAATCTAATGAGAAATTTAATTTGATATATTCAATTTTAAAGCACACGTGCGCGATATTGAGAAATGCTGTACGAGTTGATGCTGCGTCCATCGCGGATTTGTTTCCGATGTTTAGTGAACATTTCAGTTTATTTCTCCAAGGAGAAGAACAATTTGAAACTAATAATCTGAAACAGTTTCAAGTTGTTCCTCTTCTTGAAGAAGTAAATTGAAATATTCATGAAATATTGGAAACAAATTTACAAAAAATGTGATAGCAATCTAGAAGCTAGATGAAATAATCTAATAACGCAAAATTTAATAACGCAGGTATTCGTCATGTGATTGATACCGGTGTTGCCAAGGTAAGGACTCATCATCCGATGACAGGATTAGATATGTTGAAAGTGGAGAAAATCTCAAAGGAACAAGCAAGACAAAGGATGGGAAGAGCCGGTCGAGAAGCACCCGGCAAATGTTACAGAACTTACACACAAGAAGAATTTGACAGGCTGGAGGATACGACAATACCCGAAATTAAAAGGTGCAATCTCACGGGAGTCGTCCTTCAACTTCTCGCTATCGGAATCGACATCACTACCTTTGATTTCATGGACCAACCACCCAAGCAGGGTATAGACACAGCCATGAAATGTTTGGAGAATTTAGGCGCAATTACAGGTACGAGTTTTTTTTTTTAACAATAAACATATACGTGTTTATTTAAGAGAAGATAGTTTCTTGAAGTTTATCTTATGGAAGTAGTCAAAAAATAATTTTAAAGAAGACAGATTTATTTATAATAATTGGAATTGGAAGAGATAATTTTATTTTGTGTTATTTGTCTATATTCTAGCTTTTCAAAGTAAGCAACTTTTTTTATTTAACACAATAAGAAAATCAGTATACTGCATGAGCATGTTAGGATCTTCATTTCCGCATTGAAACCGATACGCGATAAAAAGCCATCGATTAGTGATCAATTAGCAAAGTAAAAGTATTAACGCCTGGGCACGCACTTAATCCTGAAGATAGCCTAAGATTAGTTATATGTTTAGGAATTAGTATTTTTATGTTGATCTTTACGTTAAAATCTTTACTGTATCATAGATGCGACTAATAGTAATTGTTTTGACACGAAGACAGTAAAGTTTGTATATTTTTCCGAATAGGATCTCAACTGACTACGCTTGGTCGAACGATGTCACGGTTTCCCTTAGACCCTCGATTCACCAAAGTAATCCTTGCGTCGGTGGAACACAGGTGTTTAGAAGAGGCATTGACAGTTGTTGCTTTACTATCGGGAGAATCGATATTTATAGACTCGACTGCGAAAAGGGTACAAGCTGTCAAGGCACGCGAACGGTATGGCATCTGTTTGCTATCAGTTTATTTGCCTCTGTATTATCATTTTCACTGAAAGTCTGAGTAGAACAATTAGTAGAATTCTTTTAATTAGTAGGACAATACGCGCAATTGAGACACGAATCAAAATAGCATGGTGTGAATCCTTGCAGATTATCGGATCTGCGATAAAGTGCATTTCCTAAAACCAATGTACTAAAATTGCACATTGTACGAAATGTATAATTGCAAATACATATGCAATGTGTAATATTTATAATTTACATTGTAGTATACTTACGAAAGTAATTACATTGCATTTTTAATCGTAAAATGTGCACCGAAACAATCTCCCGAAATACAATTTTTATCGAAAGAAAATAAAAAAACGAAATGAAAAAGACACAATAAAAAAGGAGTCAATATAAAACCATTTTTAAGTAATTTAAGATCGAGATTTTAATCAGGACCAAAGAATAACGTAAATTTGATCAATATGATGTTAAATTAACATCATTTTGATTTTCTTGTTCTCTGTGGATAGTTTTACAAAAATCATATACTTTGAGAAAATTATATTTCAGAATATTGACGTTTCGTCTTTTCGAGAAATTGTTCCAATTTCTAAATTTCGAGATTTCGATTTGTCGAGATAACAACTGTTCACCCGATAAAACGTGTTTTGTGCCACAGTTCGTTAAGTGATTTAATGTTGTCGGAAAATGTTCGTTGTACTTCAGTTTCACTTCGCCCGAGGGAGATCACGTAATGCTGTTGAATATATTCCGCCAATACCAGAGCACCAAGCAAAAGAAGGTCTGGTGCCACGAAAACTTCTTGCACTATCGAAATCTGCAGTATGGCTCGGAGGTAAGGCAACAGCTCGCGGCGTTGGCGGAACGTGCGAATTTGGAAAGTGCGAGCTGCGGAACGAATACGGAACAACTCAGAAAAGCTCTGCTCGAAGGACTTCATGAGAATCTCGCGGAACTGCAACGGGACGGGACGTATGTCACGGTGAGCAAACCTTTCGACACAGTATTATTATTTCCGCGCTGTTATATTTTCCTAGCGGTTGTTTCCCGAGATCGGGCGTTATTCCGGATTTCATAGTGATGGAATTTTTACACGGTGTACGAACATCCGTAATGTTACGCTATTTACGAAACTTCAATGCGAATCGGAATTTTCGTTGATCAATGACAAGCTGCTATTTTTAGCGATCTTATCAGAGCACGCGGAAGCGGCGAGAATTAGACACGAAATTCGCCAGGTCGGGAAATAATACGTTACTTGCAACGGTATTAGCATTGCAAGTTACTTTTTTTCAATAACGACCTGGTAACGACGTTTCTTTTTTTTGTTAGGAACGATAATGATAACAAATATAATCTTATTACTTTTATCGTTACTGCGCACATGTACAGGGTGTCCCAGAACAATGTTCGAAGCTCTGATGGAGACATAGTACGGATTAAAGTGAATATAAAAGTCCTCTATCGTTTGCGATATTCGCAATAATTATCGAAATATTAATTAAAGAAGATTGTTGAATGATTACGCGAGATATGATAGCTGTAGTGGCGACATCTGCCGTCGTGTGCTTGTACATTAAGTCAAATTAAACAAAAAGTTCCTTTATCTTTTTCCCAGTAACTTTAACGAAGGACTTTGGAGGTTGTTTTGGGACATCCTGTAGAACATATGTACATAGAATGTAAGCACAAGCGAATTCTAAAAAAGGGTCTTCAAAACTTGGTCAAAAAGATAAGTAAAGAAAGTTACTCTCTTAAAGTGAATTAGTGAATAGTCACTGATATCAGTTATGAGTATAGCACTGAGCACTTTCAGTGCTATACTTATAACTGCAATTAGTGTATATTCACTGTTTTCAGTGATGTTTGACTGACTCATTTTAAGAGAGTACTTCTTGAGTAATAACAACAGTAGCGAGTTGCTTTATGGTATAGTAACGGTGATGCATTACTTCGCAAAAATAATTTTTCCAGCCCTGAAGATACGTACGTGCAATTTCGTGAAATCTTGCACGACGAAGGCATGCTTAACACGGGATATAAGTGTGTGTGCGCTCCGGAACTACGTCGAATTATTTTCGCCTCCGCGTCTCATCGCGTGGGTTCCTGTTTATACCTCCTCTTCTTCACATAGATAATTTCCTATGTCGGCGGAGAGAATTCTGTGTATAATTACGTTACATGTTTGTTGTAGACGTTCACGAAGCAGCCGGTAACCATACATCCTTCCTCGGCGTTGCACGGCACGAAGACGTCGATGGTGCTATTCACGGAAATGGTGGCCACTTACAAATGTTACCTTCGCGGTCTGTCTGTCATCGACCCCGGCTGGTTGACTGAAAAGAATACCGGCCCTAGGAGACGCAACTGACGCAACTGTTTGTGCCACAGCATTATTTATATGGTGCTTATTTTCACTGACGTCGGGTAAAGCGAAGCTGATCGAGGCTGTCGCATAAATGAGACGATGCTGTACAAATGACGAAAAATCAAGTAGCACTATTGATACAAGCTTTGAGAGATCGATTGAAAAGTGACGGCAATTGGTTTTTAGATAATTATTGTATAGCCAAAGGGGTTACGAAGTAACGCGTTACTTTGAAGTAACGCCGATATCACTAAGCTACTTATTTTAATAAATAATTACCACAAATTTCTAAAAGATGCCTTAAGGTTGTCTAAAAAACGTTTAAGAGAAATACAACGTTTTTTTTAATGTCTTTAAGACATCTTATATAATAGTTATACTAGTCTGGGTAGTAAAAAATTACTTTTCAAAAGTAACTTTTCCAACTCTAATGTTGTCCTATTTATATCTGGAGTTCTTCATCGACTTTCGCTCACATCGACAATCTTATTGAGATGAGGAGGGAGGAAGCGACTTTTCTCTATTTATATACTTTAATAAGATGTGCAAATAAAATTGTTGTTACGTGTAATTAATAAAAGAGTTTTATTTAAATGTGTGTTTAGTGATTACGCGGCCGATATTCATCTATCCCGATTCATCCCGTCACGCCATCGATGAGGAGCGAACGCTCCTTCCGAGCAACAATTCCCGACTCCCGTACGATTTACACAGAAACGTAATTAAGTGAAGATGCAGCCACTATACTGCAACACTTAAGTGCACCTCACCCTCCCGCATCCTTCGCATCCTTCTCGCCTCAGCGTATATACACCTTGTTCTCGCAGCTGGAGAACAGTGCAAGTTTAATATGAGCGAGAAACGGCGGTTCTCCGCCACCAAACGAACGAATGTGCATTGACACCGGTAAGTGCGATCAATTTTACGGTCCGGAAGTCCCGGAATGCTGCAGGAAATCCTTGGCAAAGTCCTCTCATCAAAATTTTGGGGAACTCAACGAGGCCCGCACGTCTAATACTTGATGGTATTACGAAGCGATTTAATCGCGAAACGAAGTTGCGCGTGCTGGTAAAATTGCATGTAAATTACCAGCGGACGTTACGGGTGTTACGTTCATAGCTGCGCACTTATCCGCGTTTACCACACTGTTCCATGCACCGTGCATTGGATAATTACTGCTTCAGCGCGAGAATATTGAATTTGCGGCGTATAAGCCAATCGTCGGGATACGAGAGGGTGAAGAAAGCGCGCTTAACGTTGGCAGTTTCTCAACCGAGCACTCGCGCCCGGCAGAATTTCCCGACGACGGGTTAAAATTTCAACGTTCATGCATTCTAAAAGGCCCAGCCTTGTCTCGTCCCCTCATTTATATGTCCGTGAATTTTAACAAAATGCGCAAAAGTTTCACTCATTTCCTTTCCTTTTTTTTGAATATCAAACAGAAATTTCGCAATGAGAGATAAGCGTGAAATTGTAAATGGATTCTTTTATACGAGTGCCGTGTTAGAGTTAGAAAAAAAAGAAGTTGGAAATTCTGCTACTAAATTTATACTAAATTTTATGGTATCTGGCTTTAATGGTTGGAAAGTGTGCAATCATCGCGCGATCGTCAGGTTACGCGAATCCAATTTAGACTCAAACACAATTCGTCATTCGGAATACGTAATAACGCATAAGACTGACTGAAAAAATTACATGCGAATATTTCAGAATTTGGAGTGTTGCAGTATCTAATTTTTTACAACCAAGTTGAAAATTCTTTTTATCTCAGCGAAATTGTTCTTCGAGATATCTACAATATAGGGGGAAAGAAAATTCTTTTTCTTTTCTTCGATGTGATTTGCCGTGCTTGGGATATGCGTGTGTTTGTGCAAATATATATATATATATATATATATATATATATATATATATATATACACAAGTCTTGGCACACCATATTTCAAAAT